AGTGTCGAGAGTTATGTATACGAGTGCGAGTGAGACAAGAAACCGATATTTCTCTCTTTCTAATTTTTTCTTCGGAAGCGAGAATTTTTCGTTTTGACGATYGAGTGTCGAGCGTTCTGTATATCTATATATATATCGGCGTATAAGCGCGGCTATATTGAAGAATAATATATTTTTATATTAAAAAAATTTTTTTGTGACTTTGTGAAGACTTTGTGAAGAGATCCACTGTTATTATAAGGCTAATTAATAATACTATTTTAGGTGTTGGAATATCTCTAATTAATAAAAACGAATTAGGTAAAACAAGTACCGGAGAGGCTGTCGAAATACTACATCACAGGGGAGATGAATTATATAAAACCTATTAAACCATTATAATAAATTTATTTATCTCCACAAAATAGCTCATTCTCAGTTTTAACTAGTTCTGTAAACTGGTATCCAGAGGGAATAACACATTTGACAAAAGAACTACCTGACTATATTATTATATCATAATATATATATATTATGATTATAACATCAGAACCCACAATACAATCATCTATCAAACAACTTTCTCCTATTTTAACATTACCCATGATTATAGAAGAATAAACTTTTGATTTATTGTCAATTTCTACATTATCACCGATTACTGAATTTATTATAATACAGTCCAGACCAATCTCAACTTTACCTAAAAAATTACCTATATTCTCCAAGGAGTTTGTTGATATACTGCTTGGCTTCTTTCTGTTTATTTTTATTAAAAACAGCTGAATTAGAGCTCGGAACTAATGTTTTTAAAGAAATGTTTGTGCGAATGAAATCTTCCTTGTCTTTGATTTGATAGATATATGTGTCGTTTTGTGAATATAAGACAACTGGTCTTTCTTCTCTTAGATATTCTACTATTTTTGGTAGTAAATTGTGTTTAAACCTAAAAATATTGTTATCGAACATCGACAATAGTTTCTTGTTAAAAATATAGAACTGAATTGTATCTAATTCTCGTGAAAGTGTAACAGATCCACTCATAAAAAAGTTTTCGGGTAATTCATTTAAAGACTCGGGAGTGTATAATATTAATTTATCATTCTGAAATCCTATTATTAGGTTATTACTTTTAGCCTCACTTAATATAGTTAAGAAATGTGCTTGAGATGAAGTATATTTATATACAATGTTTTTTATATCAATGTTGGTAATTAAGTTTCCCTTTGTAACAATAATATTATCCGATTTAATTATATTTTTAACTGTGTTAATTGATTGGATAATGCCATTATAACACTTTATCCCAACTATAAATATTTTTTCTTTATATTTTTCAGGGATCTGTTCTATGTTTTTTATATTTTCCTCTAAAATAACGATAAAAATTTTGTTTGACACTGGAAGAAGAAAATCAGTTTTGTATTCCAAAAGAGGCTTGTTCAATATTGGAAGATTTGATATATGTAGATCTGTATTTAAAAGTGGAAAGAGATCGTATCCTGGCCCTATCAAAATTATTGACTCAAACATGGGATAAAAATATTAACATTACCAAAGCTTATTTTAGCTAGTAACGAGAAACGCTAATGTTATTGATATAAAAGATGGAGTTGTATGTTCTAAATCAAATCAATGGGGTTTAACAATTTCCTAATGTGGAATTAAACTGACTACAAAATATATTAAGAAAGTTGTAATAAGATCTCCAATTCTTTTCATGATAATTTTAAGAAAATATAGTGTAACTATCAAAGCTAGTATAGTGTTATGTAGTTAACCCTATTTAAACAGTTGCTAATAAAAGTGAACATTAGAAACATTTTAAGTGTACTGAATATTTTTTCTCCAAAGAAAAGGGGTTTATTAGGTAGATTGATGTGTCAATAGAACAAGAGATCTCTTATTAATGGATAGAATCCATCCTTACAGATTATAGTTGTCCATCTTAACGTTAACACAGAGACAGATTCTTAAAAACAGTAATTTAAATAAGAATAAATAAACTGTTACCTAAGGAAATTTTCGTTTCAATAATAAAATGATCTATTAAGAATTTATATTACTACCAGCACAGATATTCTTGTTATAACAATGTGATTTTTATTCGCCTGGTGATTGTTTTCGATATCAATTTTAGGAGGTGGGTTCATATTTTGCACGTGTTTTAAAACAAAACAATTTGTACCACTTTATAAAACCTGATAATGGTCATCAAAGATTTCGCAATCGTCTTTAAGTATATATGATATTAAACCTTCGGGATTGTAAATTCATCAATAGATACGCTTAAAAAATTAGATTAGAATCCTTAGTAACGTTATTCCAAGTATATGTATTTCCCATTAAACGGCCACCCAAATACAAATTGTCAAACTCTTTTAGTCGCGGCACTCTTAGAAGAATTGCAAATGGTATTTTCACTAAAACTGATCTCCCCAATACCCTAGATAGGCCGTAAGCCCTATAAAGAGATTTCAAGGTTTACATATATTTTTTTTTAATGTTCATACCCAAATCGGACTCGTTCAACCAAGATTTACTTTTGCTTAAATTTATATCATTAACGATTTCATCATCATACTCATCGCAAACAATTTTTATTTTACTAGTCTAATTAGATTCGAAAAAGTTTAAAAATTTACGACTACGTTCACACAGTTCATTATATTAAAAGTAAAATACATTAGTATATTCACTCAAAATATGTTTGCCATTGTATCTGTTTATATTTGTTTCGGGTAAAAATATAAATATTAAATAACACAAAAACATAATGAGTCTTCTACAAGATTTAATCAATAAGAAAGAGACTTTTATATTGACAATGGATAAATGTCCTGATACTGTTAAAGGTTTGGATATACTCGATACTCATAAAATAAGGTACTTGAAAATTAGAAAAGAAGATAACCCAGAGCTTGTTGAAGACATAATTAAAGAATATAATTTCAAGTACTACCCCACAATTTTCATTAATGGAGAATTTATTGGTGGCGATAAAGAACTTGTGGAATATCTATATAATAAATAGAGCTTTTATCTAGTGAATATTTTACAGTACTTATGTTAAGTTAATATACCTACTTGAGGTCATAAACCTTTCTACTGTTGTATAAATAATGGTTCACAATGTTTATTCTGCTATTAAAATTAAACCGATGTCTGTAATCTTACAAATTTTCCGAATGTAAGTATAGCGCACATTCATTTAAACATTATCAAATGCTTGATACCCTATTGAAATGCTTCTTTAAAAAATAAGATTTAAACTTTAAAGTACTTCTAGACTTTATTAATAGCACTGGGATACATTTAAAATGGCACAAAGTTGAGGAAACAAAGTCCTTTAACAAAAACCCTGATAGAAATTATTTAAAGTTAAAAAACAATTCAATTTAAGGTAATAAAAACAACATTGATAATAGGGTATAACAAATATGACAAACGTCGATTGATACTACGGTTGACGGTAAAGTTCTGACTTTCCACAGATAAGTTTGGTTGATCAGTGGGGAGCGGTAGAAAACCTCTCAGACCGAAACTGTCCTCTCCTGAGGACTTATGCCTGCCAGAGGCCTTTTGGGCATATTCTAGCTCTTACGTATCGAACATGTCAAAGACGTCAATCATTGAAAGTGGCAACTTAATCCTGGATGTCTTTTATGTCCAGAATCCTAGACCCAAAGATATATCTTACCCTTCTACCCTCATTCAAGAATGACTAAATCTAAGAATCTAAATGAACAGTTAACTTTAGCGTATTCCTCTTCACCCTAGTCGGCGGCACGGCCGATTCACAATCAGTATTCTAATTGTCGTAATTTAAAGATTTATTGACTTGCTGTCCATCCATGATCTCCGTAATCCGTAAGTATTTTTATTTTAATTACGTTGCTGTGGTAACAAACCACATGTTAGAGATGTTGTGGATCAAAGATCATTACAGATCTGAGACATTTCTGTGTTGAGACGGGTTGTTCGATTTTTCGGTCCATGGGCCGAAAAAGTTGAAACATGTCATAGTATCGGCCAGTAACATTTTAGCTGTGCAAAAAAACATGAAAAATTATCAAACATATATAGTGTTATAGAAAATCTATTCAATAAGCGGAATTTTAAAAATTATTGATATGGATGTTGGTAAACATTGAGTTAAACATTTAATAAAAAGTTGGGGTAAAATTTATACGTTATTTATACTTAAACCCGCCAATTAGATTTCACCGCACCCTTATGTCCCATGCCCGATAGCACCGTTGAGAACCAGACTACAACACTCTCCTCCTTCAAAAACCTTTACATGTTTTTTATTCGTGATCACCTCCCGATCGTTCTCCAGTCGCAATCTGTACGAATTATATCCAGTCCCTATCACATATCCTATGTCCGTCCAATTAGAATCTAGTTTGGAAATCGTGCAGCATGGTTGAGCATACAATATCTTGGTGCCTCCTTCAATCTTCTGTTCATTCTCTGCCGTTTTTGTGTATGAGTTTAAGTATTTCCCTTTCCTTGCCTCACAGTTCCTTTTAAACCACTCATTGTCTAGATGTACTACTATCCCCTCTTGTCGATCCATGTGTATTAATATCTGACCATGTGCTTATTCGTATGGTGAGCACCCAATTCCTCTGTGTACTGACAGTAAGTAACTACTGTGTGCCTTTCCCAGGCACCTTCCCCAATCAAACTTCCCATATTCAGTTATCTTCCGCAATTTCCCAACTAGCGTTTTATTGAAACGTTCAACTAAGCCCGTGGTTGTCGGATTATAGGGTGAACTATGCTTCCAGCTGATGTCATATTCCTTACACATTTCCTTGACTTCTCTGTTATCGAACTCCTTTCCGTTATCCGACAAGATCTCCCTTGGTCTGCCATGTTTACCGATTAACTGTTTCTCTATTCCGTCTCTGACCTCGCTCATTGATTTATAGCGCAATGGAACTACTTCTGCCCACTTTGTACGATGATCTACCATCGTCAAAATGTACTTATACCCTTCTTCATTTTCTTCAAAAGGTCCTACTATGTCGACTTCCCATAAGTCGTTCTTCTCAGTGACCATCAGTGGGGAGCAATCATATTGTCTTCTTGGGCCATCGGCCCGCTGACAAATCACGCACTTCTTAACATATTCCTCGATGTCTTTACCGGCACCTGCCCAGACGTATTTACTCAATACGTGATACTTCACGTTCTGAATTGAACCGTGACCCAACAGATCATGATAAAAGACGATCAGATTCTGCCCCTTTTCCGGTGTTACGCTTTTCCGGTTACGAACATTTATATTAATGCAATTAAATTCCCTACTGAGATGATCACTTCCATTTGTCGCCCCTCTAATATGTTCAACAACAAATTTATACTCTTGCAACAAAACACAGCATAAACCACCTTGCAAGCCTTGCTTTAATGTTCCTCGATGTAAACAGGAATTTCAGTGCTGAATGATCTGTCCGCAGCGTGAATTCTCCTAGCAGCAGATATCCTCCAAAATGTTGTATCGCCTTAATTACCGCTAGCAGTTCTTGCTCCGTGGTGGAGTATCTCGACTCTGCACCACTGTGGAGTGCCGAATAGAACGCTATGACTCTTTCTTTCCCTTCGTGTACTTGTGCTAAGATTGCCCCAACCCCAGTATTTGATGCGTCCGTTGTTAATATGAACCTTTCCTTTGGATTGGGAATTGTTAACCGCACATTGTCTGCTAGTTTGTTCTTTATTGATTCAAAGTGCTTCCTATATATCAAGTTGTTACCTAAGTTGTCCTCCCATTGCTTAGCATTATCGTTATCTTTCTTATTTAACACTTGGTATAAGTAACACGAGTTTCGGTGCAGATCCGGTATAAACTTCGCACAATAATTTATCATCCCAAGGAACGAATGCAGTACTTTTTTCGACTTAGGTAGTGGTAAATTCAACAATGAGTTTACCCTCTTCTTGTCCATTGATATTCCATCTCCATTTATCACATGCCCAAGTACCTCAATCTCCCTCAGCCCAAATTGGCATTTTTCGTCATTTTATACTAACCCTCTATCCTTTAAACGGTTCAGGACTGTCCTTACGTGAACCTCATGTTCCTCTTGTGTCTTGCTAAAAATCAAGATATCATCCATGTATACCACTACGAACTTGTTAATGAAATCCCGTAAAACTCTCTGGAATGTGGCAGGACCATTAACCAAACCAAAAGGCATCTTGACAAACTCGAATAATCCCTCCTTGCATCCGAAAGCGGTTTTCTCTATGTCTTCTGGGTGCATGTCAATTTGATGATATCCTGACTTTGCATCCAGCTTCGAGAAAATTTTAGCTCCTTTGAGTGCGTCGAAGAACTCATCCGTCCTAGGCATGGGATACGCATCTCTTATTGTTATGTCATTTAGTCTCCTGTAGTCTACACAGAGTCTGAAACTCCCATCTTTTTTCGGGACCATAACCACTGGACTTCTCCACGGGCTATTACTATATCTAATAATGCCGTCTTTTAAATATCCCTGCACAATTCCTGAAGCTGCCCCTTCTCCTTGAAGCCCTAGTTTATAAAGCGGAGTACAAATGGGCATCTCCAAAGTGGTCCTTATCCTGTGCACCCCAAGTCCCGTCTGCTCTTCTTTTGGGAAGCTAACCGCACACTTTTCTCCGAACTCCATCGTTATTTTATTATCTTTTAAAAACGGTATCCCTAAAATGCAATCCACGTTCACCTTCCTACTCACATAGAATTTAACTTTAATTCTCCTGTCATCCATACATATTTCAACGGTGATACAACTCAGCGTGTCAAGATCCGACCCATCCGCTGTCCGCAGGGATATATCCGTTCGTTCACACTCCAGACCTTTAACCAAACGCGAGTTAATAATGTTCACCTGGGAGCCAGAATCAACCAATGCTCTCACCTCCCTACCATTTATTTTTACTTCTAATTCGACACATGAACTTATATAATTAACAAATAAATACGTTGAACTCTCTTTATTTGAACCTTCTCCGTTAGATTCCTTTATAGCTATTTCATTGATGGAAGCCTTTCTCCTCTGCTTTGCAAGGTAGCCTTGTTCACAGTTCTTAGCTATGTGACCCTTCTGTCCGCATGTATAACAGATCTCGTTCCTCCAGTCCTTTTTCTTATATTGTGGTTTCACCCCAACTGTCATGACGTCCGTTTGTCCCTGTGTCTTGCAGTTTCTAATATTCGAACATGCCTGATAAATATTAGTCCAGATCAACGTTCCTTGTGCATTCAAGAGTATCATTTTTCCCATCTCATCTGGTAATGCATTTAAACAAAGAGCCACTAGTACGTCCTTAGACAAATTCACTCGCCTCGACATTCCAGCCATTTTGTCTAAAAAAGCTAGAATAGACTCCCTAGGGTCATATTTCATTTTTGCCAGCTCTTTAATTATTAGAAGGACCAATGTCTTTCCCACAAACCTGTCCAAGAACTCCCTAATAAGTTCTTCTAATGATCCCAATTCCCCCCGCGAGTTGACCCAATTTTCTGCCTCTCCCCTCAGGGCCATCCAAAAGACATACATCATCTTTGTCTCATCCCATCCGTTGATGAGAGCCAACCCTCTTATATTCCTCACGAATACCTCTGGGTCCCCTTTGCTCTCATTTTCAAACGTGTACATGCTGTTAGTCGCTGTCGCCATATTGTTAGTAAACATTGAGTTAAACATTTAATGAAAAGTTGGGGTAAAATTTATACGTTATTTATACCCAAACCCGCCAATTAGATTTCACCGCACCCTTATGTCCCATGCCCGATAGCACCGTTGAGAACCAGACTACAACAATGGAGATTAGCCGATAATTAGGTAACATAACATTGAACTCAAAAATACCAGCCTTATAGAATATTTTTTATTCTTCCCCGTTGTGTGTTGTTAGATGGATTATTGGAATGTAAAAGGATAGAGTTTAACGTTTTCTATCATCTGATTATGTATTGTTTTTGAATTTATTGCACAAATTTGCCTAGATTAAGACTAGCTTTAAGAAAAAGGACTTTCATATTTCTACAATATCACTCGAGAGAATTTGTGGTAGGTGGAACATCTATATAAGATATAGATAAATCTATAAAGAATCTAATAGATATCTATTATCTATAGAATCTATAAAGAAATCTATAAGATTCGAAAAATAATACTTGAATGTAGCGATAGTTTATATATTGACGTTCAAAATAAAGTATTGGAATTTCATAAATAAGTAGTCGTCCCCGATAGCTATGTTGTTTTTTTTTTTAGAATATCAAAATTAACTGCATCCTTATCCTTGCTCACAAATGATAATGAAAGAGATATTCTAACATTTTCATTTTTTATATTTTTCGGAAAAAAACAACTGGCCGAAACCATGACGTCACCCGTTTTAGTTTATTATCCAAGTCAATTAAAGGACGAGTCTTCAGGTATCACGTGGCCTGTGGGAATAATAGAACAGTATACGTGTACTTTTTATTATGAAATTTTGTCTGACAGAAAGCAGGCTATGATTAGCGCTTTACTAAAGAAATATGTTAAAGAAAACTCCTAGATCATTACCGTTGGGCACGCATCTTATCCTGGAAGTGTAGCCGATAACATATGTAAAGATATAGTTGTTAATCATTCTAAAGGTTTTAGAAACAATGACGGCCTTACTACTAATAATATTGAAAACCTATGGAGCCTTTTAAAGTATGAAAAATGTAAGAGAAAGGGAATTATAAAATCTAATCTGCAATCATTCTTATTAGAATTTAAATATAGATATAGTTTCCTGAGAATATTAGATAAAAACGAGATACAATATCAGTTTAATAAGATTGTTGAATATTTAATGCATTATGTGGTATCCTCCACAACACTTGGCATGAAAAAAAATCACTCAAAAAAAAGGGGATTTCCCTCCAAATTGTAAATTTTTCTATTTAAAAAAATATGCTAGAGGAGTGGGTATGAGCCAAGTAGCCAATAACAATAAAATATTCAATAAAAGTATTATTACGTCATTTATCCAATAAGGATAAGACACATCAAAAGGCTCTTTTACTTATTTTTTATCATTATACTTAAAAATATTTATTCGAAATTTTCTCTATAGGGGGGACCTTTACCAGTTTTTAAAAATGGTATTAACAGATCCCTGAGCCGCTATTTTCTCTATATTATAAAAAGTTAACGAATTATTCCTACCCCCTAGAAAGTGAATTGAAAAGACTAAAATAAACAAGTTGGGGAAAATAATGCTACAAATAAATAATAATTCAATATTTATCTGTAAAATAAAAAAATGAACATGATTATGGGATATTAAATCAACATTAGTTCTTTTGTGAGTTATTTGAAAGTCCACAATTTTCTTCCTCCTAAATCCGTATAAACAATAAGAAGGAAAATTAAAATTTATCAAATAAGTCACAAAAGAACATTGATTTATGAATCCCATTCTCAGAGCGGGACTAGCTTTACTAGTAATGATATAGTAAGTTAGATTTCACTTAGATCTTGTATATCCTTATCCATTGAGAAAAACTAAGGAAATAATTTACAATCCCTGCACAATAAGTAAACTGCAAAGTATTATTTTTCGGTTAAACATAACAACACTGAATATTTGGTCTAGAGGTTTTAAAAAAAATACTGAAATTGATCATAATCTTTATTTGGTTAATGATCCCTTCCGGCCTCGTTTTTTAGTATAAATAGAATTTTTGAAAGATTGATACTTAAAAATGACTTTAAAATGTTCAAAGAAGAAGACCTAACAGAAATAATTTGAAAGCTAGATCAAAAAGGGATGAAGAAGTGTCTATTTTGCGTTAGGAACGCAAAACAATCTGCCAAACGTTTTGATGAACTAATTTGTTGTAATAGATACTGTAAGAACCCGTTTTAATTTGTAGATTGGTTTAATTTTTTACCGACATAAAACACTTAAAAGAACAATCTTAGAAATACCTGAACTTTTTATGTATAGGGCTAGTGTAAGGCTTATAAGGTATATTCGTGGTATTAAAAAAAATATATCTCAAATCTAAAGAAACTAGCTGAGATTGTAGTTCCCAAGTTCAATAACAATAAAGACAAATTTGGTGGAGAAGAAATGTTTGTCGAATAGACAATTCCAAGTTCGGCAAGAGGAAATACAATAGGAGACATAGCTGATGTGTGGATTCTTAATATGATAGAAAGAGGCGATGAAAAACGTATAAAATTAATAACTATAATATAAAAAATAGATCGAAAGAAACTTCAGTAATCTCATAAGATATCATGTCAAACAGGACACTATTATCTATACGGATGGGTGGAGAGGATACAACGGATTGTCTAACTATATATTAGGTATGAAGTAGTAAACCATTTTATCTGGTTCGTAGATCCTCTTACTGCTGTACATACCAATACGATAGAAGGATCTTAGGCGGCAGTTAAATCACACCCTCCGAAACAAAACAAGTCTGTTTCTTATATGTTATATACTCCCTAAGGACAACACAAAACACCCACTGAAAATTTTAGTTAAATATTAATTTGTATTTTCGTTTTCAACTTGTTATCTTTTAAAAATGGTGGTTAATTTTTTTGAAAATTCTATTTATATTAAAAACCGAGCTGGAAGAATTCTACTCCCTTTGTTTATTAACTTTCTGGAGCATGGAAAAATCCGGTTCCAAAATGGCTATAGATGGAATTTTTAAAAAATTTTATCCCTAAAAATGAATTCCAAAAATAGAAAACAGAAAGAAAATTTTAATAAAGATAGAAGTCGATTTTCTTTTTCGTTTTTAACAAGCATCTCGTAAACACGTCTCCAAATTGTAAGATGATATCAAATCAATAACAGTCGTGATCTGCGATCGCAATATATTACATTGATGTTGATATCCAGAAAGATATATTGTACTAATCTTAATATATCTCCCTTCAAGACATAAATACTCTCTGGAATGAACACCCATGCAATATAATAAATTATTTGTTTTCGACAAACCTTATATCTAAAAATATGTCGTTCCAAGGTTGTTAATGTTCTTGCACGATGTAAACTCGTTGCTTGGACACCAGATCATGTACCTTCTATGGTATTTGTATAAACACCTGAAATAGGATCTTTGAACCATATTGAATGGTTGACAGTTTCATGATCAGCGAAGGATGTTTGTAAATCGTTGTACCCTTTCCAGCCATCGTTATATAGTACAGAATCTTATGTAATATTGTTTTGGATAATATGTTCTAGTATTGTCTTCTTTCTGTCCTCTATGACTACAAGTTTTACTCTTTGAAGTCCATCTCTCTCCACTAGATCTAACACTCAAACACCGTCCACATGGTGTCCTCTTTTGTATTTTCCCCCACCAAATTTAGATTCATTTATTTCTACAATAGATCCGTTTCCTCCTAGTTTCTCCATTTCGTTACTATAAAATAAAAAGCATAAAGCAGTTATATGATCTAAGATTTTACGTACTGTAGATTTGAAACCTTATATACGAAGGATATAATGTCAATACTGGACTTTTGTAATAGTCCAGACAACAAAGGAGAACTTGGAAAATTTAGCGGCCTTGTTAAAATTTGATATAATGGTAATTCGACGACGCTGAATCGAATGGTGCTAATTTTTTTGCAATTGGATCAGGAGATCTTTGAGAAAAAGGGTAAAAAATGGTAAAAAACGGCCGTATCTTAGAATCTATGCATTTAATCGAAAAAAGTTTCAAACAAAAGTTGTGTTAAATTAAAAAATGCATAAAAAATG